AATTGGTCTGAATATTCTTGACGTATCCGTTGTTACTGTGTTTACCGTCGATAAATCGTAAGACATTGAAATCGTTGCCCGCATTCAAGTCATTGGTGTGGATGTGTTGCACACATTCGTCGAGATATCGGTAACGCGTGGCGTTCTTGAGGGCCGTCTCTTCGTCGCAACGCTTACCGACAGTCAGTATTTTAAACTTCAAATAAACTAATTTGTCGCTCAAGAGGTCGTTAAGACACGGATTCACTCTCAAACACTTCTCCAACATCTCCAGCGACTCTTCGTATCGATTGCTTTCGGATAGGATTAAAGAGCCTAAACATAGAGACAATCAGTGGTCAGTTATTATCACAACCATCGCAACCAATTGGCGGATCAATTAAACACTTTACAGAGTGATCACTGATTGGTTGGTCAGCGCCAAAGACATGCGGCATACCTAACATATAGGACTGGAAGCGCTGGTCGTCGACACCAATCGCTTCCATGACGTCGTCGATGGCCAACGCCATGGAGTGGTTGTCGACGCGAATCTTGTAATAACAATACGACCGCAACAGTAGATAGCGGTAGAGATTATCGATGGCCGCAGACCTCGGGTCGTAACCATTGGGCGCCGATTGGCCACCGATGGCGGCCACCGTTGATGTCTTGTACTCGACATTGATATAATGGGTTAACCATTGTATGGCTTTGGCGTACAAACCGTTGGCCACCAACTCGTCGATCGTATCGCCGCAGACATCGAGGTTGTGGTCGAACATCATGTCTGAATCAATCAGTTGTTATCAATGAAATGGATGGACTAATGGTGGGATCAGTTGCGGTGATTATCACACTCTCTATAACATGTGGTTTTGATTTTGACACACGTTTTGGTTGTTGTGGTTATGGTTTGCGCTTTGGTTGCAAATCACGTGTCATGTTATGTGTGAACCACTCATCGCTTGGACGCCAATTCTTCACACTTTATGAATGGTTTACAACATTTCGTTCATATACTAAGTGACGCCAAATATGGGAATCATAATTATACGCCCCGTTTACAGCAATTTACATAACATTTTAGGTAATTTAAATGTTATACAGTATCTTTTTTTAAATCGGGGTGGGGCAGGTCTGCCCACTTGCCATTACGCCCAGCATTTAACCATATTAATTTTTGTATTTTGGCCCATATTGTGACTTTTGTGCAATTTTATTGGGTATTTAAATTAAAATCGATTAATGTATTGTGTTTTTATAGGATGTGGAGTTATATTGGAGATAGGGATGGGTGGGTGCAAAAGTGTCGAAATACCCGGTGATGGTTGTCTGGGTTACAATCATTACCATGATATATGACACTTATTTAAATGACATGTTTCTAAAAGTTTTATAATGCATTAAAACTGTGTTTATTAAAAGTTACAGTTTATAGATGGAGAAAATCAAATGGAATTTGTTTTGCAATAAGTTAGTTAGTTTAGTAAATAGTTATTTTACATTAATGATTCCTGATTTCAAATAATAGCTTTTTAGTTATCATAAAATTAGTTAATTATAATTAAATCTTATATTACTAACGTTTAGTTAACAATTAGTTTAGTTGAAGTTAATTTAAAAATGTATATTTGACATTTTAGTATTAAATCTAGGTGATAAGTTATTTACAGTATTCACTACCTGTTCAACATATAGATCATGATAAGTATTAGATTTATTAGTTTTAATTACTGTTAAATGCAAATTAATTTACATAGCAATATAAATAGTTTTATCATTGATAAATTATCAAGTTTGAAATTGTTTGCCTTAGGAACAGAGTAGAGTAGATTAAATTACTTTGGTTGCATTTACACCCATTAATGTAGAAGCAAAAGTGATCAAGGTTATTGTAATAATATTTTCACAAACACTTTATGCCAGCCTAATTCATAATAATTAATTTCATTAATAAAACAGATTTATTAACCAACAAAAGTTTTTTCCCCCTAAAGTTTTGCTTTATGGTAAAAAAAATACAGTATATAATGTACATGTATTAGCGCATGCGTAGACGGGGCTGTTTACCAGACAAAATTGATCATGTGGTGTTTATTGTCATCATGTGATCATGCTGTGTCTGTGTTTTTATTATGATTATTTACATTTTCTGTTAACCAAGCAACAAATTCAATATAACACTTCACATAATAATCATGCTACTCATTATTTAATTAACCATACGTATATTAATATGGTAGTGAAATTGTCCAGGTTATAAAATGATTTACATATATTACTAAGGGTGAGTATTACTGTTACCACGATGTGACTAAAAACTTATTGTTTTCAATACAAAGTTCATTATTAACATGAATTGAACGCAATTAAAGGCAACCTAGTTAGAAAAACATATTTTTTTTTACTTTGTACTTTAGTCATGTTTATTTATGGCACAGCTAGACTCTAATCATTGAGTCAATGACATTGACCATGGTATAAATATTATGTCATTTAATGCACATTTGATTACCATGATTATTAAGCATGATTAACTTTACGCTAATAAATAAACTTTACCTGTCGTTATAAATAATGACCATGGTCATCCATTATCAAACTCATTATAACATAACTAAAACTAATCAAAAACTTTTGTCCACTTTATTTCAGCAAAACGAGAGACCCGATAGAGTGACGTACAGTGAGACAGACCAGACGTCCCCTCCATCTGCTGACCACCCGATGTACTCGACGGCCGAGAAGTCGCGCAAACTGTCGTTCGGTGACCTCGAGTCACACACACGCGAGACAATCACCGCGTGTCACACACTGGCCAACCCTGTGCTCGGCTTTAACGTGCTATTAGTGACCGCATCGGATCTGGTCTATGGCTTGCGTACGGATGGATACGACGGCTACGGGTGTCTGGCTGTGGGCGACCGGCGACTGGACTCGCTTCAACTCATACCACGCCTGTGCAAACTCCGGGTCCAGTACTTTGTCAACGGGTATGACTTCGCGCTGGCCGTCACCGCTATGAACGACGTCTACTCGTGGGGCGACAACGAGTGGGGACAGTTGGGCGGCACTGGCGGTGGTGGCGCTGATTGCGGTCAAGACATTGGCCAGGGATTGGTCGCTGGCAGTTATTTTGGCGGAACCGTTGTCACAGATGCCACCGACGGCTACCTATCGCCCCGTAAACTGTCATTTTTCGAGGACAAGTACGTCCAACAGATCAGCTGCGGTTCGTACCACTCGCTGGCCTTAATGGGCGACGGAGTGGTGTACGCCTGGGGCGACAACTCGTGGGGCCAACTCGGGTCCGGACCCACGGACAGCGGCGGTCAGCGTACGCCCACACGGGTGCCGATCGACGCCGGCGTACATTCGGTCTACTGTCACAGCAGCAGCTCATACGCCATCGCCGAAGACGGACGCGTGTACTCGTGGGGCGAGAATAGCGACCACCAGTTGGGTCACCGCACGGCCGACACCGTTGTGTTTGAGCCGAGGTCTGTGGTCGGTCTCCGGGACGTGAAATCGGTGGCCGCCTCACAATACATGACTTACTTTCTGACTACCGCTGGCCGACTGTACTATTGCGGCCACTATTACGCCGATATGGGCGCAGGCGGTGGTGGCGGCGGCGGACACAATGGCGACGGACCGGACGCGCCCGCCGTGTGGCCAATGGAGACGGAGCGCCGGTGCGACGAACTGCAACAGTTCCGGTCGCACGTGGAGTACTTCAATCGGGACTTTATCTGCGCCCTAATGGACGGCCGCGTGTATAACGTGTTCGGTCCGGACACTGTCGGCGAGACCGAGTACAACACGTTTGTCGACTTTTACGCCACGGTTTGTCAGATCAGTTACAATACGCTAAGACTCGTCGGCGGCGGTGGCGATGATATTGGCGACGAACTGATGGCTCTCCAATCGGGACCAGTATTTCCGGCCACCGATTACCGCACGGAGTTGTTTGTGTCCCAATTGGCCGCTCAGTTGCCTAAGATTAATACTCAGATCAGTGTCGGCCCGACTATTGTCGGTAAATACAAGTCTAATCAGTTATACTTGAAAGTGATTTTAACACTTGTTTTTCACACTCACAGCCGCTCAAGAAGCAGTCGAAGACATACCTCAACATAAGCCACAACCAGACAAAGCTCACGACACGCCGAAACGGGTCCGTATAGTGACGCCGGCCTCGTCGCCGCCAAAGCCCGAACTGCCGCACTCTCCAGCCATGGGTCAAAAGCGGCGCTCGTCGGGTGACACCGGCCGGCCCGCGGCGGCCAACGGTCGACATCTAGTTAACACACATATTAGACACGAATCTGCCCCCCAAACGACGGCCACAACCGACACATCGCCCATCAGGAGTGATAGAGATGTCGGTCGACAGCGGGCGCCGGCTAATCCTCCACCAGTAGTGACCACTGAAATAGTTCCGCCGCCCGAAGAGAGAGTCACTCATTACTCGACCAATAATCACGAGTCGGCCGTTCGGAAGGATAGGGATGTAAGGCCAACGCCAGTGTCTGCACACAATACGCCAACACGTGATGGTAAATATTATCGATGATAGAGAGTATTATTATTGAATAAATTTACATTGTTTTTTGTTTAGTAAACATCGATTTCTCAATTAATGCCGTTTCCACGCCTTATGTAAGCCATAATCACAACACAAACACAGGGTTATCATCGATGCGTACGGCAGATGTGGGCGGCAATGGTAGCCCCAGTGGTGCCCGAGTATCTGCCGCTCGTGTCGGCGGCGCTCGTATCACTCGCGGAGACACAGCTCACGGCCCGTCCACCGGTCGGGTACTAACTCCAGACCAAAGGCTAACCGACAGTTCAGAAAGTGAGATATTATTTTAATTTA